CCCCCCCCCCACGTATCCCAGGCTGGCCTTAAGATCCAGATCTTCTTATCTCAGCCTTCCAAGTGTTGGGATTATATTTGTGCCACCACACATAGCCTTCTCTTGTGTCCTCCCCTCCCCTCCACTCCCCTCCCCTCTTCTCCCCTCCCCTCCCCTCTTCTCTTCTCTTTTCTCTTCTCCTCTCTTCTCCTCTCTTCTCTTCTCTTCTGCTTCTTTCCTTTCTATTTCCTATTGTCTTCCTGCTTCCTATTATCCTGTAGCTGCTTAAGTTTGCTGCTACATTACATCTAAGCTATGGACCTGATAAGTATAGATTACATCTTCCTGATAGCATATTTTGACTGATGAAATGGGAGGAGGGGAAGTTTAATGAGGATTAAAATTTGAGATCAGTCCAGGAAAGGTACAATAACATCCAGAGTCTTAGAATTTAAGTTGCCATCACAGACTTAGTGGAAGAGACTTATCTTCCAGATTATCTAATACCAGAAACAAATGCAGACTTATTTGATGGAGATCTAAAGAGAATTTAGAATCTTCTAGATCAGAGGATCCTCAAGGCTACTTTGTGTGTAACCTGTCTCTGTGTGTCCTTCTTTTTTATTTTACCCAGATGTAACATGAATATTCACACTCAGCCTACTGTGCCCATGGCACCTACTTGAAACTGGGACCTCCAGGGGTGTGTCAAAGTGGTAGTCCCAATTTGCAGCTATTTTTATTTGCAATAAGGACAAGTATAGGACTTAAATTAACCTTTGTACAAAACAGAATTCTTGCTCTGTTCCAATTCATGTCCTCATTTCACAAATGAGGAAACTGAGGCACAGGGAGATGAAATGAGTTACACAGGTGTTCCTCAAATTCTAACTTACTGAGAATTTTGTGTACTATTTTCTCAGTCTGCACAACATCCCTGAGAGGAAAGAATTCATAAATGATCATTTCTTGTGCCTTTCATTACCAGCAACTTCTTCGTCTATCTGGCGTGTTGTCTGTATATATTCAGTGATGTTTTGGGATATGTATCTGATGGCCCGCCTTTATTAACCTCATTTTTCAAACCATACTTTGTACCTAACATGGGCTTTATACCAGATATACTGGTTACAAGCTGGGATTTTATCTGTTGCTAAAGAAAAATGTGTGAATTTAGGAGATGGATTGAGAAATCTGGGTAATGTAAATATCCAGTAATAGTGAAAAAGAAAAAAGCACAGTGAAAAATGTAGATACATTAACTTTTAACTTGTGATTGGATAAAGACATCTCTTTGGAATTCTTTTTTCTGGTTATAAAGAGAGGCCATGTTAATTGGCTTGTTTTTGTTTGTGGTTATAAACTATTCCAAACCTTCTGGTTTGAATTGTGAATTATGATTATTTCATTTTAGTCCTTCACAACCCTCAAATTGAATTTAAGAAAAAGAAAAAAGACAAGCAGAAGTTTAATTTTAGGTCTTTCTAGCATTTGACCAATAACTATATCCCTTAGCCCTCTCTGCCTTTGTTGGAAATGTATACAGTGTCTCTTTATTTTTATAAATCTATTGAGCACATTCAACTTCCTAGAAAAACTATATTCTGGTATTTTGATTAATTGGCAATGAAGTCTCTTTCTTCCTAGTTGTTTGCCCCATTTTTCCTTCGAAATAGGTTAGAGTACAGTCACCCCCAATGGAAGAGGCAGAGCATGATAAAAACTTCGCTCCTGAGTGAAAAAGCCACTCAATCTGAGCAAAGCAGATGCTTCTGGAGACTAGCCAGGATATTACCTGCTGTAGCTTATGGAGTTTGGTTTGCTCAAGTGATTTACATCTGGCTATTTGATGGTCCCTAGCTGTAGTGTTTCCAGGAAAAATAGATTGGAGAAGTGGGTACTGAAGAAATCCTTATAGAAATGATGGCTGACATAGAGTAGCACCATCTAAAGTGTTGATTACCACCTCCTTCTCCTCCCACTAACGAAACAGGATCATGATTTTTGTTTCCAAAAGAGGAGGTCACTGGTCCCTGCTGGAAAGATTAGGTTTTTGACATTAAGTATTGGTTTTGACATCGTCTTCATACATTCTCCTGAATCTAACCATAGTTTACTGGACAGGCAAAGCCTCTGGCTTAATTCATAATTGTTGAGGCCAAAGATGATGTCATGTCGTTTTGAAAAGCTCCAGTTCCTGGAGTACTACCAGGAAAACAAAGTCATCTTCCTTGAATTCAGTCCACCCTCAAGGTGTCTTGAGAAAGAGGCTGTTTCTCAAGAGCAGCCCAGGCAACATCATGCACAGGAAATAAATGCTTCCCTTGATTTCATGTTTCTTTGTGAGCCATTGGATGAACTTAAGTCCAAAATTTTCTGATTACTACTTCTTTACCTGTCCAGCCCAAATGTCAGCATATGTCATCCCTATACCATTAAAGGTAGAGAAATGAAGATCTCCAAAGGTGTTGGATTCAAATAATGAGTTTTCCATAAATGTTGTTAAACAATGGATTCTTTTCACCCAATAAAATTGTGGAAGGGACAATTTGCTTTTCTGGTCACCCCACTTGTTTAATCAGCTAGGTTAGGGACTGTGGAGACTTCGTTTTAGGCTACCTTTAAAACACTGCCTAGATTCTAGTGTCAGTTTGTTTACTCAACCATTACCTTGATAAACAATGAAAACTTTGTGATCATCACTGGGTGGAGTACTTTTTACACAGCTCCTTAGCTGGTAACCTATGCTAGGGAAAAAGGTAAATTCCAAGTCCCTTCAAAGTAAGATAAAGAGTTTCAATATCCAGATGGGTTTATTTTACTTGCTTGTGTTTTTCAGCCCATTTTGTGTTGATCATGTAGGGCTATGCTTCCTTCAAGGGCATAAATATCACTTTCTTTTTATGATACCTTCAGAGCTCTACCTCCTCCTCTTCTTCCCACTTCAATGCTTTCATGTACACAGCAGGTTGTCCTACAAAAGGAAGTAGCAATAGATAATGCTATCACAGTCCTTGTAATCCAAGTGAGGGCCTTGTAGGAGTTCTGGGGAAGCAAACTAACAGAAATACTGTTAGCATGAATTCCACTATTTTTTCTTTCTTTTTTCCTTCCTTCCTTCCTTCCTTCCTTCCTTCCTTCCTTCCTTCCTTCCTTCTTTCCTTCTTTCCTTCCTTCTTTTCTTCTTTCCTTCCTTCCCTTTCTTTCTTTCTTTCTTTCCTTCTTTCTTTCTCTTTTTCTTTTTGACAGCATTGCTTGAAGTAGTGCTTGTGCTTGTTTACTGTTATTTTTTGATTGGGGTCTCGCAGTTTTGTTAGAGATGGTCATTTTTCTTTTCGAAATACAAAGGTGGATTTTTCTTAGTGCCCTTAAACACCTATGATCATAAAGAAAAAAAATTAGGTTGAGTATTGGATGCAGTGGCTTTACATTTGTAATCTCTGCTACTTGGAGAGTGAGGTCAAGAGGGTCAAGGATCAGGACAAAAAAATTAACAAAATCTCATCTCAACCAGTAAGCTATGAGGAATGAATCAATAGAAGAGTCTCAGTCCAGGCTGGTCCAGGGTAAAATAAAACACAAGACCCCCCAATCACCAAATAACTAAAGCGAAATCAGGTGGGGAATATGGCACAAGTGGTAGAATGCTTGCTCAGCAAGTTCAGGGCCCTGAATCCAGTCTCAATACTGAAATAAAACAAATAAATAAATAGATCTGGAGATTAAAAATAAAAACTCCATGCTAAGAAGAGAGACCTGTATACTTGAAAGCACTCAGCAGTTAGGAAGAACATTTGATGACTCTCCAATTGAGGAAAATATCTCAAAATGGCCAGATTCAGTCAGATGACCCAATGAAAGTTGCTGAACAGAAACACTTTCTGGAAGCAGCCCTGTCTTCACTTTAGGTGAACCCTCATTGGCAAAAGCTGTATCAAAATGCCAGAACTTGCTAGCTGAGGTACTAACACAGATACTCAGCCAGCAGCACATGGTTTATTAATGCCCAGTGTTGCCAGCTACTGGCTTCTGGTTATCATGTTTTAGACCTAGAGCAAGGCACAGTTGTTTCATCAGATAATAATGCATTATTTATTCTTTTTGTGTGCTTGTGTGCTAGTCCTGGGGCTTGAACTCAGGGCCTAGGCTGTGTCTCTGGCCTTTTTGCTTAAAGCTAGCACTTGAACCACAACTTGAACCACAACTTCACTTCCAACTTTTTTGGTAGTTTAGTGGAGATAAGAGTCTCACAGACTTTCCTGCCAGGCTGGCTTCCAACCACAATCCTTGGATCTCAGCTTCCTGTGTAGCTAGGATTATAGGCATGATCTCCTCCCATCCTCCTCTGCTGCATTATTTATTCTTAATGCATGTCTGTCATTTCTGCAACAGCAAGTGTTCCACAGAGCATCCCTCTTCTGGGATCAGCAGTGGTCTTTCTTCATATATGTATGTATATATTAAAGATACTGTACAGAGGGGTTACAGTTAAATGAGTAAGGTAATGAGTACATTTCCTATCAAGCATTGTTAAGCAGGGGTCTTTTTTATCCATTACCTTTTTTATGCTAGGTACAATTTTGCTTTGCATCTGACCGTTGGTTTGCTTTTGGTGTTCTGTGGCTGAATGCTGGAGGACAGGCTTGTGTGCTGGGCCTGTTTCCATTGTTATAATCCAGCTGTTGGTCCAGAACCTGAGAAACGAAATCTGGCCTGTCAATGTTTGGTGAATGAATGCATCAGTGGATGGACTTTGCTAGAATCGGGACTTCTCTAGGACTCCATAGTGAACACAGTATAGACCTTGTCTGCTAACCAGAGAGATGAATACTTGGATACAGGAGAGGAAGAAACCTCGGTTTTAACTAAGCACATTGTTAACCCCACCCACCTGTTTCTATTCTTTCTTAACTCTTCCATACATTTCTTTATAGGAAAAGGGGTTCAACACTAGAGGTGGATAACTCACAGTAAAAGCCTTGATTCCCAAAGTCATTGCCTCCCTTGAAGGAATAGGGCCCCAAAGACCTACCTGTGTTACCATCTTGCTACAGCATAGGCTATTTTTCATGTTGTTGTGATGGAGAAGTTGCTTTGATTCATCAGAGGTCTTGTTTTGGTGTCCTAACACCATTGCATAGGTCTTGGTTTTGCTGCTCTTCTGCTGTGTGTCTCAATTCAATCAGAATCTGAATGAGAGTCCAATAATGTGGACCTGTCTTACAAGTTCCAAGCTCCATAGAGACACAAAGATGACCAGAGTGATGGTTTTTTCTGAGTGACTTCTGGGACAGACACACCTTGTGGCTGTTCCCTGGCCCTGTATGCTTCCCTGGGCTGCAATGTGTCATCTGACTGAGGGAAAGTAGAGTGTGGTGTAACGTAAACATTTAGGAAAGAATTGCGTTTCTCCTTCCTTGATAGATAGCTCTCAAATAGATCAGTCTGAGATTGTATCATTTAAAGTTTGGATGGAGATTTAGTTTACAATATAATAACTATCCAAACAAGTATGTGAGTGTTTTGAAAAGGGTTTGAAACCAGTTGTTAGAATCTAAACCAAACCTGTAAATAAGTATGAATTTATTTCTGGTAATCCCTGCTAGTAGATATGAGAAGACAGCTGTGTCTAAAGAAAACCGTTGAAACCAATTGGTTCAAGACTATTTCATGGGAATGGGAACCATTTTAGCATTATTTCCAGGTCCTACTTGGGCCTGCTGAACAGGGTTTATGAAAAGGAAGGGGTTCTTTTATTTCTTTTTAATGATAATGGAAAATGTCCATTTACCCTGTAATTTTTCATCCCCACATTTCCTCTTCTTAGATTATAATTGCAGAACTCCAGTGCAAGTTAAACTTCCACTACTTGCTGCACTTATAGCCTCTTGGTGAACTCCGCTGGCCAGCAATGTGGATATTTTTCAAAAGAAACTTTCTGCCTTCATTGTATTAAGTGACACTGTTACCTTTATCACACCCTGTCCCCCACACATTCAGTAAGAGTTTTGTTTTCACCCTGTTTAGAAATGTTCACAATGATCTCATAACTTATATCCTGTCTTCCTAGTTCCAAGGAAACACTAGTCTTGCTTGTGTGTGATTAGTACATGGTTTGGTTTCCCCCAAAATAATCAATTACTAGATCTTGCATCTGATATTTTGTAGAATCTTAATTTATGTGCAAAAATAAAATTTAAGGAATAAACCAAAACCATAACACTCACTGAAGTATATTATCTGCTGTTTGGTTTTAGTTTCCCAACTCAATACTCTACATTGTTGAGCAAATTAGCTCTGGAATATGTTAGCTTTCATGGGATTTGATCACTATCTCACTTTCCTGACCTAAGTGCATAAAAATAAACAGCTTGTGACATACATAGTTTCTGATTTGGGTTTTGTTTTGGTGGTTAGAAAAATTGGCATTTAAAAAAATGTAGCTAGAGATGACTAAATTCCTCAGCTGGTTTAACATTTTCATTAAACTATGTGGTAATTTTAATTAGTGTTGTTAAAGTAGGCATTTGTTGTTTTTGTGAGTCTAAAATGAGAAGATACAAAAGCATGTTTGGCAAAGTCTTTTCTTTAACCTAGATACCCAACCTCGGGCAGCCAATGTGAATTTTTATTTTCTTTAAGCTGTAAACTAAAATGTAGTTTAGCTGAAATGTGATTCTATTTTGATACTTAATCAGGTAACAGAAAGGAGAAGGTTCTGGGTGATGAGAATAAAATAAGCTACACAAATAGCCAGAGAGATGCCTAAGATGAAATGTACCGTGGGTGACAAAATATAGAGCCAAAAGTTGGATTCCATTTTTATTGTAAAGTGAGATCTCACTATATAAAACCATAATCTCCCCTTAAACTCATCTGGACCTGTGTGTTTCTGGGTTTCCAGAACAGACTGTTCCCTTCTGATTGCTGCATATGTACCAAAGCCTGGTACTGCAAATGTCTCATGATGCGAGAGTGAATTTCTCATTGCCATTTTTTTTCAGATAACAGCCCGCCGTCAGTGGAAACATATTTATGACGAATTGGGGGGTAACCCTGGTAGCACCAGTGCCGCCACCTGTACCCGGAGACATTATGAAAGGTAAGAAGAAATTCCTTCTTGGAAAGCCTTAATTATTTAAAAGGATGTTAATTGGAAGATGAGGCAGAAGAAGCCTAAAGGACCTTTTAGGAAACAGAAAATATCCCTCTGATAATTTACTTGATACATTGCGTTGTGATTTTTTTTAGACAATATGGCCTTTTGTAGTTACAGGGAATAAAATTACATGTTCTTAGAATGAACATAAGACACATCTAGGGAGCTGACAAATAGGCTGGTTCACTCGCTAGTCTGAGAGTATGGAATTTATTGGTGGTTCTTATAGTCATTAGCATTCATTCCAGCTTCAGTCTGGACCCAGGACACCCATCTGCCCATCTTCCCATCTTATACATACAAGCACATCTCAGGTTATGCAGCTTAAAGTCCAATTAGAGTTTTATCTATGCTGAATTTAATCCAGAGCCTCAAGAATATGGTTATTCAACAAAAGTTAGGGTGCTTTTGTAGAAATAATCAGAATAAGTTGTAATGGTTTTAGAACATCATAAAAAATTCCCACAAAGTATTTCCCAGAGATTATCTTGGCAATATTATGGTCCAGAATGATTTTTAAAAATTGATAATAGATGTTCAATTTACTGCTCTTTATAAGTATTGTTTTTCAATATGAAGCATCATTTTTTAAAATATGACATAGTTTGCTGAGTATCTAATACAAAGGCCAATGCATTCTCACACAGTGTCCTCTCAGGGGAATGTTCTGTAAATAATGCCGAAGTATACCATAGGCTGCTTGGTTTTGAGTCAAGCCTTTAATCAAAACACTTTCATTACAAGTATTGTCTGCAAAGTTGCTTTAATTAGAGAGTGAACATTTCCTTCTTCCTTTCCCTGAGCCCCTGAGCTGATAGGACCTGATAATGAACAAAAATTGAAAAGGGAATGCATCTCACCCGTTAGGTAGCTCACCTAGTTAAGTGGATAAGTGCATTAACGAGAGGAATTTCACAAAACATCTCATTGTGTTAAAATAAACAGATAAGGTTAGGAATGGAGATGACTGAATCTATCTTGTATATGTGTGTGTGTCATTGTGTAAATTCCACTCAAGAATTTTGTGAATAAAATAGCCCCAGTCTTAAAGGAAAGGCCAACATACATTCTTTTGAAGGTGATAGATTTTGTTTCATAGTCTCCCTCTTTCTGGAAAAAAAAGTTTACCAAAAACCTTGAATCAGTAATTGAAAATTTTAATAGAGATACCACAAACAAATGTTTAGGAACTACTAAACATTATTAGAGGATTATAAAAATCCTTCCCAGTTTCTTGGGATCATCTAGATATTTCACAAGATTTGGGCTTCAAAAAGTGGATTATTTTTCAAAATCTAGCATTTTGTTTGCTCAGTATATTTAGTCAGGGGACAATGAGTAAAATGGAAATGACAGGATATATTTAACAAAAAAAAAATTGCTATAGGGAATCAGGTATTGGTGTAATGTACCTCATCCACCTGTAGGTAAAAATTCCAAGTTGCCCCAGGATGAAAATGGAGAGAAGTAGTTAGGGTATGACCACCTAGAAGCTGGAAGATTGTCCTTTACCAAACCAGAACTAAGCACTTAACTTTTAGGAGCTGAGAGGAGGAGCTGTAAGGACTTGGTTTTACTGAGGTGGGAGTTCTTGCTGGATACTGCTAGGTCTCAGAGGACTGGTTTTGCTGTCACTAAAAGAGGGACCAACTGCTGTGCTCCGTGATTGTTGGGTTGGCACTGATAGGAACAGTAAGGGTGAGGTCCCTTCTTCCTTCACTCTGATTGCAGAACCTCATCAGAAAGACAACTGAATAAGATGACATGTCTTTAAAGAGTCCATCTTCTCCCATCACAAAACTTAGTGTAAAAGGGTGGATTTGGAGTTGAGAGGCAATAGACTAGCTGCCATGTGGGAACCATCCTCCAGTCCCCTTTACCAGCAATAGCCATAGTAGTATAGAGCCTACAAAAGTCAGATTAGAGCACAGCTGCCCCAGGGTAATTTGTAAGTCTTTAGCATTTTTCCCTTTACCATCTAGATCATTATCACCTTCTGATTAGAAGCAAGGGGTGCTGTGCAATTCATAATAATTAATTACCAAAAATATGAGGATCACTGATTTACTTTTAAGACTATAGTTACAATCATGTCATTCTTCATCTTTGAGGAATCACCCATAATCCCATGAGTGGTAGGGAGAAGTGGCTGGGAGCCACTGTTCTGGACAACTTCTTTTAATTGATTCGCCTAGAGAAAGGCAGAGAACACTGAGTTCTGTCCAGGGCTTTTGACCAAAGAAGAGGCTGAACTTGTGACTCCAAAGACTTGATTATGGCAGATTTCATTCATTCATTTTTTTTTTTTTTGGTCGGTCATAGGGTCTGAACTCTGGGCCTGGGCACTGGCCCTCAGCTCTTCAGCTCAAAGCTATTACTTGAGCCACAGCTCCACTTCTGGCTTTTTCTGCTTATGTGGTGCTAAGGAATTGAACCCAGGGCCTCATGCATGCAAGGCAAGCACTCTACCACTGAACCACCTTCCCAGCCCATTTTATTCATTGTTAGTCACTGTCTTCACAAACACAGATCACACAGAGGTGACTTAGCTTAGTGAAAGACCATCATTTTCAAGAAGGCTTGAAAGGTGGGGATCAGAACTTTGTGGGCAAGTAACTCTGGAAATGCTTTTGGAAATTTGTAAAGCCATCCAAAACCAGATCAGAATGGCGTCTTGCTCTTTTCGGTTGAATAGAAAGTCTCACTCCTTTTGCTAGTTCCCTCTCCACCTTTGCTTTCCTAGAAGCTGAACAACAACAACAACAAAAAAGAGTGATCTACTGTGCATTATCCAGTGATGTATTTTTTTTACGCAGTGTGGTTCACAATTCCAGTAAATGTTTTCATTTTACTACAAGAAAAAAAAAGCCAGTTCCTCAGTAAAATGTTACTTGTATATTAGTTGAGCACTTTGGGTTTATTAATGAGTGTAATAATGAAAGTGCGGGCTGTTGAAAAGAATCAATGGCTGTTTTTATTTAAGGCATAGCAGAAATGGTACAATGCCTATGAATGCATCTTTGTCGATGAAGGCCCGACTCGTCCAAACTTGCCTCTGATTGGTTTAAATCAAATAGGTCCAAGCACTTCATAAAAATGTCTTTGTCAGCCTGGTTTTGCTTCCAAACCTATTCATCTCTGTCAGTTTTTAATATTAGTACCAGGCTCCTGGCCATAGTCCATTAGTACTGTACTTAATTGCTCATGTTACAGATGATTACCAATATAAAAAGCATTAATGTTTTCCCATCGCAAGGCTGTTGCTACATAGATGTCTGAAACTCAGCAAAGCTTATAAAATGTTATTCTGGTCATTTGCTTGGGATTTAAAGATAAAGTTACTATAGATTATAATGCAAACAAAAATGCTTATATCTTCCTGGACTGCACTAGTAGAACATTTTCTCTTGTCCAACTCTTTGCTTAAGATGCTCAAATCAATTTCTTTTATCAGTAAAGGAACAAAAAAAGCAAAATGGCTGCTTTTATGAAATTCTCTTAGCTTAATTTTCTGGAATAATAATTCATTTTAAAGGCTTTGTTTCACATGCACATTTCTTTTTTCTTAAAAAAATGTTTTGAAGCACAAGTAAAGCGGGAGGGGGGGACCTTTACACAGAATACCAGATTACTGGTTTTAATTTTCCCGAATAAATTAAATGGTCTGTTTCTGTGGAGCCCATGAAGTTGTTATTAAGGATTTTAAAAGGAGCATTAAGGCAAAAAAAAAAAAAAGTACTTTGTGATGTGCTTTTCTGAGAATGTAGAAAATCAAAATCATAAACAAATGTATTTCTTTGTGAGGGAAATGAGCAATTACACTTCATCTTTTTGCATACATAATGCCCACTTTCAAATTCTAACCTTCTGCTTTCCTAGTAAGAAAGCAGCGCCCCTTGAACAAGATTGTGTGGTTCAGGCAGCTTCCTTCACAGTGATTTGGGGTGAGCCATACCAGGCCAGATGCACTTGGGCAGAAATAGAAAGCTAGAGGGTCTTCCTTCTAGCCTTCTCTTCTTTTTTTGCTAAAGGTGATAGGCAAGATAGGGAGGGGGGGGCTTCATATTCTGACTAAATAAGTATGTGCTGAAAATGAAGGCCAAAGATTAATTAGATTCTAAAGACTACTCAGCTAATCATACTAAGGCAAAAAGCCAAGGTCTAGTCAAAGTGACTTACAGTTCTGTTCATGTCCAGGGCACAATTCCATGTATTCTTGCTCATTTGCTGATTTTGACATGAGTGAGTTGGGGGCAGGGGGGAATATGTTTCAATGGCTTGAACTCAAGGCCTGTGCGTTCTTTTGTAGCTTTTTTTCCGCTCAGGGTTCACCCTACCAGTTGAGCCACGCTCTTCTTCTGACTTTGTGGTAGTAATTGGAGATAAGTCTCACAAACTTTCCTGTCTGTGCTGTTTTCACACCACAATCTTTGGATCTCAGCCTCCGGAGTAGCTAGGATTATAGGCATGAGTCACTGGCACCCAGCTCATTTTGATACTCTTGGAGCTAATAAATGCATGATTGAGAAATTCACAGGCAATATCTTGCAATGTTATATTTGAGAGATCCCTTAACACCCCTCTTCAGACCAGCACAACTCAAATGAGGTTTCCTGACCTGCCCATGAACTATTTTCTACTAGCCTATGAAGTACTTAATAAGTACAACAATTACAAGTAAGCTTTGATACCCTTACATGGAATTTACCAGACTTGTTTTATGTCCACTAATCTAGTACGAAATACGGGATCACATTTTGTATGCCTCTTTTTTAAATTCCATTTTTCTAGTAACTCATTTTGATGATATTTGATAATATATATGTAAATATATAAATAAAGAGTTTTCCTCACTGATATATATCATATATATGATTATAACTCTAGTTATATAATATATGATATATCATATATATGACATATATGTATATGATATATAAAGA